GGGTGGTTGCTGGCAGGGTGTAGCTTCTGTGACAGAAATAGGAAGTGGGTGGCTGCTCGCAGGCTTGCATGGGATCGGTTTATGATTTTCTTTTGCAGAGGGAGGGGTGATTTATGGCTTTTTAAAAATTAATATGGCATTTTTATGTGGCCGTGGCTTTCTACCGCCTGCCTCGCTCGGGCAGGGTTCTCTCGGCGCTCCATTGCAGCAATTCCCTCCGCGCCCCCTCCCCCTCCCCCTCCCCCAGAAAGGGCCTGCACAGGACTCGCGAGAGAGCGGGAGAGCGTGGGGGGAGCCCGGCGCTTCCTTCCGCGCGGGGCGGGGGCGGCCGCAGGCGGAGGGGGTGGCCGAGGGGACGCGAGGGGGCCGCGGGAGGCGGGGAACGACCCGTGAGCCCCGCCGCCGCCGCCCCGGGATTCCCCCGCAGGCCCTGAGAAAGACACGGAAAGCAGTTCTCCAACCTCCCTCGCCACCCGAGCCTTCCCCCGCCGACCTGTCATTGCTCTTGAATGGTTCCCCGCTGGAGCACACCTCCCCCGTGGTAACCTCACCCCGCTCGCTTCTTCCATGCCCCTGGCACCCCCTTGTTAACGGGCTATTTGATTCCTATTATTGGCTCCTCTCCCCTGCCCCGGGATCGTGTATACTTCTGCCTCTGGGGTTTCTGGCGTAGAGAAGCCGGGATGCGTGGGGTGAGGAAGGGGACCACCAGTTTCTTTCTTGCTCGGGAAAACCCGCCGTCCTCGTTGTGTTCCGTGGTGGAGTGGGGGAGGAACCATCCTACGAATCCTGGAAGGATGGGACAACAGAACAGATCCGCCAGGATTAAGTAGTGTCCCTCATTCCTGGTGTTAGGACCCGGAGCAGAGCAGGGATGGGGTATGTATGGGCTAGGCGCACAAGGGGCCTCTTAAATTGGAAACAGCACTGTCTGGTGTGGCGTGTGGCGTGTGTGTGTCTGTCTGTGCGCGCGCTGTGTGTAAAACTGAGATAGTATCTAATGTGGCCATGCATTAGAGTGCAAGGCAGTAAAGTCATTTGCCCCATGAGCACTTAGATGAAGTAACTCAGCAGCCATAAGACCATGATACAGAAGTCCTGGGGTGTCAGAACTGTTCATTGCCCCATTCAGATTTGCTCAGTTTTTAAAGTTGTGTGTGTGTGTGTGTGTGTGTGTTCCTGGTGATGGGGGGAAAATTATTCTCTCCTTCTTAAAAAAAGAACACAAAATATCTTTTCTTGTTTTGGTTGTATTAGAATCATTCCTGCTTGAATGCAGTATTCATAGACTCATCAAAATAAGGAGGAAATACCTTTGCAAAAATGACTGGAAATAGGACTATAGATGCACAGCTGTTCTTTCTGCAGGCATGGCTCCTCATGTTAAAACAGTGAATTCAAATTCATTCAAAAGAACTAGGCTTTGTATTAAGGGTTTCTGTTGACATTTTCAAAAATTAAGACCTTTTGCTGAACTATCAGAGTATTTCCCTAATGTGTGAAGTTTAGGTGTAACTCCAGTCTGTGTGTTTAGATTGCCTGTTTTCAAAACAATTAGCCTACACTTGATCTTAGCCAAAAGGCCGAGAAGCCATCAAAACAATTAATGTAAAGCTTACGATTCAAATGATAGCAGTAAATGTGTCAACAATTAAAAAACATTGATATGTGCACACATAAGTTCAGGTTCCCTGTTTTAAATCACAAAGTGTGGCTTTTCCCTGTAAATGGAAAGTTGTCAAGCAGGGAAGAATGTAAAAATAATTGTTCATATGTTCTGGCTTGGTGTCTTTACCGATTAATGTGAAGGAGCCCATTCAACCATTCCATGCCTATTTTGCTTTGCTTTTTTCCAATGATATAATATTTTTATAAATGGCTCTTTATTGTAAGTACACAACCCCCCCATAATTTCAAAGAAATGATTTACATATTTTTGCAGAACTGAAATGCACATGTGGATAATATAGGAACATAGGAAAGTCTCAAAATAGGAAAAGGTAATTTTGCATTTGTTTTGTTAAGGATCTTGATGTGAATTTTGAATGTGAAATTTTGTTTATAGGAAAAAAGTTTTATTGACAAATCCTTATTTTAAGGTGGGCATGCTGTTTTTCTTATGCTTTCTTACAGACTTTATATTGTTGGCTTAACAGGCATTATTGAAAGGTGGATCCAACATTTTGTCACATATATGATTTTTATAACTAATTATTTGAAATGGTAATCTATTTTGATTATCAGTTCTCTAAGAAATAGCATTTCCCCACGTATACACATGCTTAGTGAGTAGAAAGTGCATGTATGATGAATGGAAAACAGATTTGACCCAAATGATTTTTTGTATTTACAAAATCAGATAAGACATAGTTCATTCAACCATGACTTTAAATTTTGTTAGAACTTCATCTCAGTGGTCTGAGGAAATTTTTGTGCTCCTTAAACTTTCTCTCCTTTTACAAAGTACAGATAGTAGTATTTGGTTACATATAGAAATAAGTATTTGGATCATTATTACCATGGCATGCCATGGTGTTTGTTTACAGTTATCTGCATTAGTGTCATCTGGCTTTTGTTGTATAACAAATTGCTATTTACAAATAAAGCTGTGCTTGTGGTTTTGTTTGTAGTAATACCATGATGTGACGGCTTTCTTGATTTGTACTTCCAGAATGCAACTTTAGAAAGGTAGGTTGAGTTTAAGTCTCAACTAACTATGCAATTTTTCAGGTTCGTAGCATCTTCTAGAGTGTGTTCAGAGCCTGTGATCAGTTTTCCAAATCTTAAAAATGAAAGGGAATGGCAGCATTGGAGATAAAAAGCATTCATTTAGGTTACCGCAGAAAAAAAGTTACTTCGTTTAGCAAAACTGGTGCTGTTTCATTTTTGACTGTTCTTGGATAAAAACAATGGAAAGTATAAAAATTCATAGAAGAGATCTTGGGTAATACCCTTCGTTGGAAATCATAATAATTTGATCCATTTACTGTTTTACATTTTTTAAGGAAACAAAGTATACGCATAACTATCTGGCAAAAGATGGAGGGCAGTAAATAAAAGAATAACCACTCTCCCCGCTTTCCCCCAGCACACCACGTAGTCTGGATTTTCTCTGCAGTGGTGGTACACAGGGCTGGTTTAAAACTGGCTTTTGTTCATTTCTCCCTGCCTGTTCCTGCTTTTAACTCCTTGACTGGCCCTAACATTCCCTCTCCGCTATAGAACTTTGCTACAGGAAAGTCATACACTTAGAGGAAATTAAATTGTATGCGATGGGTGCTTGCTTTGTTGCATCTCTTTCCCTTCCTTGTTCCCATCCCTAAGTATTTTCTAAAGGGCCTCTTAACCTTAACCCAAACTGATTTTAATGGTAGAAATTCCAGATACCATGACAGGTTGATGGGGGGTAAATTCCTGGGAAGAGTTTTGGGGAATTTCTCAAAAACTCTTAAGTAGCGAATTTGTGCTGTGTGTCAGGTTACTTTTGGCTGTGGGGGAATTAAAAAAAACAACAACACAAAAACAAAAAGCTCTGTCTTTCTTTGTATTGCCAGCTTATAGACTATTTGTGAAGACAAAATACACATAGGGAAATTCTGGAAGGATATCTAAGATCATATAATCAAGGAGCTGGTAGCTAAGCAAAATATTAAGTAAACAGGGATTCAAACCACCAGTGTTTCTAGCTGAATGAGATGGTAATACTGCTTAAGAAGAAAATGAAAATATGCTACATCAGTAATAATCCTCATGTTTGGATTTTGAAACAAAGTATTAAATAATGCCATTTCTTTGTGGTGTGTCAAGAAGAGCTCATTGTGAATTTATTTTACTTAGATTTATTACCATCAGTTCAGTTATTCCGTGTATATTCTATGTATCTGGTTTTCCATTTGAGTACAGTAAAACCTCATTAATTCAGTGTTATTAAATGTCAGTGTTTGGTGGCTAAAGTTTACATCAGCACTGGATGTGAAGAAAGGGGTCTGCTAATCTAATTAATACTATAAACAACATGATTTGGGCATGGTTAATGTACTTAACAAAACAGATTCTTTTCAGGACATACTGAATAGCATGTAAATTAATGCTATTAATTACAAATTAGATTAATCTATTCATTAGTATTTTCTTTCAGGATTTCTACTATAAAGTCAATATAACAAAAATGCATGGTTTTCAAAACATGTTGTAAACTTAAGGCTTAACGCAACAATTGAGACTGTGATTCAGGGAAATTCCAGTGATTCTAAAATGCCATCAGTTAGAAAATAAACATTTAAAAAATAATATTTTTTGGGGAAAGTGGGGGAAAGAACCTCTATTTTTTTTTAAAGATTTTATTTATTTGAGAGCGAGAATGAGAGAGAGAACACGAGAGGGGGGAGGGTCAGAGGGAGAAGCAGACTCCCTGCTGAGCAGGGAGCCCGATGTGGGGCTCAATCCCGGGACTCCAGGATCATGACCTGAGTCGAAGGCAGTCGCTTAACCAACTGAGCCACCCAGGTGCCCCAAGAACCCCTACTTTAAATGAGCCATGTATTTTAAGACATCCAGTTAAAATGTGAAAAAAGTAACACCTTAGAATCTAGTTAGAGGTTTACTCCAACATTTGTTTATATTAGTTTAAAAATACGCCTTTTTAAGTCTATTTCATGTTTTAAGTTTATTTGTTTCTATAAGTATGACCTGTTTTTATCTGTAATCTTAGAAATATGACTTTGATATACTCTACACTTATAGCTTTTATAATTGGCTTCTTATACTTTTCCTTATCTTTTCTGTGTCAGCCATGTGTAAAGTTGGAACTAATTATGAAACCAAATAAAGAATCCATTTAGAGTGACCTCATTGGAAAACAGCATTTTTCTAGACATACCTTCCTTTTAGCAAATCCAGTTAAATTACTATTTTGAAAGTTTTGTGAAAATATTGGACACTCCAGAACTGTAGAGAATGATGATGATTCATGATCTGGAACTTTGGTAAATATTAAAAAATCATATTGTTAACTTTTTTTCAGCAATTTTCTTGATATTCAAGAGAGACATAGTGAGATTTTGAATTCCATCTTTCTGTAATTGCCCTGTTATATTTTGTAAGTCACAGGCTGTTTTCCTCAAATGTAAAATTGTACTCACCCCTCACTTGTGGGAACTTGAACTCACCACTCACAAGTGGAATTTGAGAGCCCACGCAGTCATGCTTGCTCCCCTCGCCTGGGAATGGCTATTCAGTCACTGCTGACACAGAATTACAAATGACAACGTGTTAATGTATTTTCAGGGTCACTCAAGAATAGTCAGAACAATTAGTATTGAAATCTGTGAATGCCTTGGGTCTACAACAGTAGCTTATGGTGGCATTTATTTTATAGTTGAAGAAATGGAAACAGAATAGATAGAATGGTCGGTCACAGGTGGGACTAGAATGCAGGTAAGTGTAAGCACATTCTTTCCTTTAGCAGAGATGCTCTTCTCTCTTGAAAATCTGTTTGAAACTGACCTCTTTTGGTATATTTAAGCTATCACATTTTATTTCAAACTTCGCTTTACTGAATTACTAGCTATATAAAATAGCTGTAATAGGAGAAGAAGCTTTTATACCTGTGCATTTAGCAGAAATATAAATTCTGATGATAAATGTTATAATCTGGTTTGATCTTGGCCTGAGGTTTACTAAAGGAAAACTGTTAAACGTTATTTTCTCTTCAGGTATATACACAGAAATAGAAATAGCATATTCTCCTGCTAAAAAGTTTTATTTACTTTTATTTTGGAAGGTGGTTATCATAAGCCTCTTTGAACTACAGATAATAGCCCATACAGTTGATCTGGTTTGAGGATTTTATTAATTTCTAGAGAATGATCAAACGAAAATACCAGCCAATGCTTCTTAAGGTGTTCACTCCTTTTTTTTCTTTTTTTAAAGATTTTATTTATTTATTTGACAGAGAGAGAGTTAGCGAGAGCAGGAACACAAGCAGGGGGAGTGGGAGAGGGAGAAGCAGGCTTCCCGTGGAGCAGGGATCCCGATACAGGGTTCAATCCCAGGCCCCTGGGATCATGACCTGAGCCGAAGGCAGATGCTTAACGGCTGAGCCACCCAGGCGCTCCACTCCTTTTTTTAAAATATAGTCATCAGGTGGGAATGTAGGCACTGAAACATGATTTCAGTTTATAAACTAAGTCCTTAGTAGTCTTGATATTTTCAGTATTTTTAACCTATTTTGTTTTTACCATATTTCCTTCTTCTGTCTTCACACAGGCTCTATCATTGATAAGCCGTCAATTATATATTTCATATGAAGTCAAAAAAACATTTCATATTCCTCTACTGTTAGGTATTCTGAATAATGGCTTAAATCAGATGGACTGTCAGCTTGAGGACCTAGACCTATGGCTGGAATCTCAAATCCATTTCACAAAAGTATATGCAGTAGCCAAAACCTTGAAATTAAAAACAAAAACTGAGGAAGCAGTAATTGGTTATTAAAATACTGCATTTTTGGAATTAGATGTATTCTTTGTAAGACCGTCATGGAGAGAAATAGAATTTTCTGTTTATCTTCTTCTTATTTCCTTAATCCATGCTTTTGCTTCACAGCAAAATATGATGGTCTGTCTGACTTTCTATGAACTATCTCCTGGAACTGGAAATTCTGCGAATGTCTGCAGAAAGCAAAACAAACAAATAGATACCAGAGATTTATGTTAACAGCTGCCTCCAGATTATGACATGCCACCTTACAATGTTTGTCAGTTTCAGGTACCTTTCTACACTTATAAAACCAGAAGAATGATGGTTGATGTTGAGACAGCTTTATTTATATGGATCTAAATTTTAAAAAAATCCCACCAGCTCTAAGGTTCTAAGACTTAGAGTCTCTTCTTATAGGAACTGTCTAGATCCACTTTACTTTTATCTTTCTGGGGAAGGAGCTGCTACTTCTGATATAAAATGTTCAGTTGGCTCTATGTAGCATTAGAATGTTTTGGAGATTCTAGTATGTCAGTGTCTAAACTGTGTCTCCCAGGATGCTGCATATGCTTGGAAGGTACATAAAATTGTTAATATGTATATTTAAAGTTTTAGTTTGAAAACTATGGTCATTGCCCTAGTGGTTCCTGGCTCAGTGCCTTGCTTCTTATGCACTGAATCAGTTCTTGTCAAATGACTTTGGACATTGTACAGTTCTCACGTGTGCCTCCTAAAGCAATAAATGGAGACAAATTATATGTTTATTTTGAACTCATTATACTCTGATTCTTTGTAAATGGTTCTATGATGACTGTATGGTTAATTGGAATGCTTTCTTCTCCAGCCATATCAGGAAATACAGTATGAGAAGGAGATATTAATAAGGTTATATAATTAGATTGAGGGCAGTTTTGTTGTTTGGTCATTTGGACTGGCTTTATGCCAGTTGGGTTTAAAAGGCTAAATCCTTTTCACTGTAATATATTAGCTTGAACTTGAAAGCTTTCTTTCAGTTTTTGTTGTATTTCCCCTTAGACTGATCAAATTTTGACAGGTGAGAAAAAATATGTTAATCACTCAGTATTTGACATATTGGGTGATATATATTTTTTAATTATTGTTTAGATTTGGACTTGAAGAGAAAAGGACCTGGCAAATTCCATGAAAAAACAAACAAACCAAACCAAGACCAGAAAAAAACCCTCTTCCTTTGTTTACATCTCAATTTATCATTTTCTGTAATGCTTTTGTAATTCAGAGATGCAACCTTCTTCAGCATAACCTCCTGCCTTCCTCCTGCCCTCCTCTGGCCCCCAAAATGTCATTGGATTCTATCCAGTGGGAAGATATATGGGCTATGAGAAGTTAAAAAAATGTGGCACCAACTCTGCTGACTCCTTACATTCTCCTAAGTGGGCTTTAAGCCATCCGTTGACATGTGTTTTTAAACATCCTGTAAGCTATGCCATTTTATCAAATTAAATTAAAAGCATAATATATTCTCTTACAATGACAGAACCTGAGTCAGGACTTCCAAGTTTGTGTTGTTGTTATTATTTTGCTTTTTACAAAGGAATTAAATTTTTTTTTTCATTATACCTGGCATCGCTGGTCTGCTATGCATATTTAATGTTAATAAAGTACATGCGTACCTTCTCTGTGTGGGTTTGATTATTGTCATGGTAACAGTTCTCATCACTTAATTCTCATCATTCAAGCGTTGGTTCAAACGTCGCCTCCTCTGGGACCCACATCTCCTGATATCTTAAGTTTTAATAAAGGGACTCAGCCTCTTCATTTTCATTGGGGACACCTTGAATAGAGCATGCCCTGTGAAGATTTCTTTACCTATCTGCCTCCTTCCCAGGAAATGGAGAGCCCAGGAGAGTGGGGCCTGTCTTCACATATCTTTGTATATTTAGACTTAGTACAATGCCTGCTGTAGATTAGACCCTTGATACGTGGTTGCTAAATTAACAGAATAACAGATAAAGGGTAAGAGGGGTTTAAATTTCTAAGTTATAGGGTTCTTTTCTATTTTGAAATTTTGTGGATCTCAAATCATGGGCAGCTTGCAAACTTCTGGTGAGTTTCTTGGCTGGTAAGTGCCAATCCTGTAGAAGGGTTTTTTCGCCTGTGTTTTTGAAATGCTTTCTTTTGGTTAGTTGAGCTTGTATGTTTTATGCCCAATAGACAATAGTCAAGAAGCATAATTGACAGGAGTGGCTTACCCAGGATGTGCTTGGTTTTCAGTGGGTCATTGTCAGTCAGAGGGTATAGCTCAGGTTTCTCAAAGGGGGGTGATTTTTTTTTCTTCAGGAGGTCTGGTGATGATACCAAGTTGAAGGAGAACCACTATGACACCCTCTGGGAGGCTTAGATTAGACTGCACAATTATATTACTTGCTTAGAAAAATACACAAATGCAAATGAATAAAAGCTAATATATTTAGGAATCAGAACAGAGATGTAAAACATACTTGCAGGCCTAGAAAAGACATGTCTGTGTAATACTAATAAAAAAATCTTCAGGCGCATCACGTGAGTATAGGCTGCTTGTGAGTCAGCTCTCCTGATGGCATGTCTACGTGGTGAATGTTTTTATAAAAGCTCAGCTCTGGGATCCACATCAGCTGGGAGGGAGTATGATGAGGCACCTGCTCTCAACCTGGTCCTGGTCCTTACAGGGGACCACTGACCTGCTAGCCCGGACTTGGTCAGATGCCTCCCCACTAAAGCAGGCTTCCAGGGCTTTCCAAGCTCTTTCCATTTATGGGCTAGGATTTCATCTGTTTCCCTAGTGCAGAAATACTTTTCCTTCATGGAGTTGAAGGCTAGGGAAATTATAGTTTCCCACATAAAATCACATCATTGTCAACTTCTGCCAATTTGCATTCAGCAGTCAGGAGGAATCTTTCTGTTGCCTTCACCTCTGGTCAGAATTCTACTTGAGTACTCTGTGTCATTCCACATGCACTTTGAGAAGGAGGTGTAGAAAACTTGCAGTATCTTAAAAAGAAAAAAAAAGATTCCTCCCCCTTCCCCAAGTGATTAAAGAACTTAAAATTGTGATAGGAACTGAGAGATTATTCAGTCTGAGAAAAGGTTGAGTGGTAATTTAATAACAGAGTTCAGGTTTTAAAAAGTCTCTTTCTACAGTGGATCCACACTCATACATTATCACCACTATCAACTGAATAAGAGAAAACACTATTGGCAAGCATCTGTGATTTAGGTGACTTTTTTTTTTTTAAAGCAGTCATGGACATTTAACACTGGCACAGATTATGTGGGAATCTTTTGAATGGAAAGAATAAATGGTTCTCATTTATTTGGGTTGTAGATGTGATCTAAATCTAAAATTACGAAATTTTGAAGCTGGAAGAAACTTTGGAAATCAACCCCTCATCTGGCCTGAAGCCAGTTCCCTGACTCTGTATGGTGAGAGTGACTGAGAGCTGAGTGGGAGAACTTTTATCTCTTATACTTGCTGTGTCTGAACCAAAGCAAAACAAACAAACCAAACTCAGAATTGGAAGGTGCAGTGGTGATCTAGCCCAGGCCATCCCCAATGTGGAATGTCCTATCCAGCCTGCATGATGGCTGGTAATCCCACTGTTTCATGAACACATGTAATGAGTTCCCTGCTTACTGAGATCTCTCATTTCTGCTTGCCAGAGTGCTTGCTTAGGGTTGATACCAGTCTAATGCTCTGGAGTACACAGTCATTCTGCCTAGCATTGCCCTACAGAGTTCCATAAAATGGGCCTTGTCTTTCACAAGAGAGCTTATTTGACATTTAAAACAACTTTCATGTTTTTAAGTCTTCTAGCTATACCCCATATGGCATCATTTCTGGATCCTTCCCCAGCCCAGTAGCCTTTTTTTAAAACTATGGAGGTTGTTAGGGTCTTTGAAAAATGGAGACGTGAGTTAAGGTACATCGTGGCTAATGTACTTTCATCGAACCTCCAGCACCTTGAGCTTGGTTGCCTAAGCACTCTTGCTTTGCTCTTCTGTGTCCTCATGCTGACCCTTAGACTTCCCGAAACTCTAGTCCTTCACTGGTGGGCCCAGTCTAGTATGCATCCCATGGTGAGAACTGCCACTGCCATCTTACTCCTTGTGCCCTTTCTATTGAAATTGCCTTCAGTTGTATCACCTCCCAGGACTGCAGCTTGCAGGTGTCAAATACCTACCCTCTATAAGTAGAGCTTTCCGGAAAACCTGAATAGCAGATGCATGGCTCTCTCTCTGGAGGTGTTGCTTTCATTTTACTTGCTTTTATTTGCAATACAGACCAATAATAAAGACAGCATGATAGCTTGACACCGTGGTGATGTTAGCGCGGTAACTGAGAACAGGCCAAGTCCCTTGTTGACTTTGCACATCACACCACCACGGAGGCAGCTCAGCACCCCACTTGCCCAGAGCCATCCCTGCCTTCTCTGCCACCCAGTCTTTGAAGGCTGTTGATAAACAGCTCGTAAGGCCATTGGGTTTGGCTAACCCAGAGTTCAACTGTCATTTGATAACTAGTTTAAGTTTCACTGAGGCCTAAAAGAGGCCAGTGCCTTCCAACTATGGTGTCACAACACATTTCTGTGTTACACTCAGCTGTGAGGTATTAACAGCTACTGACAACAACGTACAGAAGTTTGCAAATGACTTATTTTAAAATATCTATATAAAAACAAGGGTGGATTCATGCTCAACCCTAAAATACTACTTTCCCTTATGTTCTGATGTGTTTCCTCATGCAGGAGAGGAAGGGATAGAGCTGCAGCTGTCATGGTGGGCATCTTCCATAACCTGCAGTCTTCTTGATCTTCTGATGTACCTTTAATCACAGTGGGACTTGTACATCCTTATAAGCCTTGCAGTGTTTGCTCTGTTCCAATGAACATTTTTGAGGAGAATTTCTGAGAGTCTGCATTTATGCGTGCTTGTGTTTTGTGCAAGGGAACGTCATGTTGTGTGCATCTTGACAGAAAGAAAGGCTGCCACACGCAGTCAGAGAGTGTACCTTCACTAGCCAGATCTGTCAATAGGCTAGATCTTGCAACACCAAGGGAGGCAACTCTGGGGTGATTTCAGCGTGCTCGATGCAGCCTTTTCTCCTCAAACATCTCCCAGGGGCCATGCCCAAAACACCATGTTTAGTTATGAGGATGAGCTTGGCCTTCTTTGAAAGAGGTTTCATAAGCAGCTGATCTTTAAAAAATAATTTGGTGAATTGACTAAATTTTTCTTGACCTTTGGATAGTACTGAATTCAAGAAAAATCCTGTGTTTCAGGAGACTTTTTGAGAGAAACTTTCCTGTCTCCTTTTGAAGAATTCACATCCCATGCTTTTTGTATCACTCAATTTTTTTCTGCTTCCCTCAAGTGTGATATAATTGTAACATCCTAGTTGCCAAATAGATTAAATAATCCATTATTGAGTATAAAATGACTGTTGAAAAAATATTATTTCCTTTACTTATCAGGCCATTCATCTACCCATCCATCCTTCCATCCTGTCCACGCATGCATCACTACTTGCCTGGCTCTGTGCTGTGTGCTCGGGGCTTTAAGTAGGAGAACTCTGAATGTTGCTATCCAGTGTGTGTATGTTGTATGGAGGAGGAAGCAAATCACAATGTAAGTGGCAATTACTTTAATAGCAGAAGATGCAACATGCTGTGGAGTGCAGGGAAGGGAGTGATTAACTGTCTTCATAGATTGTGCTTTCATTTTTTGGCAAAAATAAATGGAAGCAGTATTAATTTTTTTTCTGTATGTATTATATATAAGCACAATGTTCGGACATGGGCTGATTTGTAAATGAAGATGACATAAAAGGAACTATGAAAGGAATGATGAGTGTATGTAGAATTCTGTAGCTGTTATAGTTTACCTGTGAGCAAGGTGTATGAGAAAGAATCTTGGGTTGTAGAAGGTGGAAGAGGCTTTAAAAGTCAACTAGTTCAGCTATTTTCAAAAAAAAAAAAAAACAACAAAAGAAAAACACCTTTCCTATTAAATGGTTAATAGCCTCCCTCCTCCATCCCAGATTATTTACAGCGATGAAGAGGCAGCATCAGAGTGTGAAAAGAACATTGGCTTAAGTGTGACAAAACCTGAGTTTACATCCTGCTTTCTCTGTGTGCCACTGTGTGTCTATGGGGAAGTCATGTAACAACCTTGAATCCGTTTTTCTTACTGAAAAGTGGAAATGATAGTATTAACTTTGCAAGGTTATTGTTACTATGAGAAGAATTGATTTGAAATGCCTGGTTACTGCCCGCTCAAAAGAAGTCCTCAATACATGTTAGGCATTGTGGGTGGTTGGGTTTTTTTTTGTTTCTTGTTTTTTAATTGTTGGACAGCTCCTTTGAAAGCAAAGCTTTTTGCTTCTAGAAATAACCTGCATTAAAGTATTCCTCACCTCCTACCCATTGTCAGATCCACTGCAGTTTGAGGTCCTTTGTCTCTGAGACAAGGTCACCAGTGACTGTCCAGTTGCTGGCTTCTCTGGTATTTGACATAATGGGCCTCCTCTTCTTAAAATGTTGTCTTCATTGGCTTTCATGGATTTCCTCTTTGACTTATTTGCCATCTCCTCTCAACTGAATCCTAAATGTTGATGTTCCTTTTCTTTTTACCAGTTCTTC